AACTAGACCTGGAACAGGGAGATTCAGCTGAAATTCTTTCAAAGAAAGATCCTCCTGTAGACTCTGCAAATGTTCAGACAGACTTAGTTAGGTTAGCCACTGAAACTCTTCATAAAAAGGAGAAAATGTTGAAAGACAGTCAGTCAGATCAAGATACGGACCATAGTCCAAACGTACAATCAGGAAAAGACATTCCTGAGCAAAAGAACAAAAAGGAAAGTGACTTGTCCTTGTCAGAACATCTTTTTGCTCCCAAAGAGACATCATACTCAGAAGATTTTGAAAAATCTTCTTTTAAGAAAGAAATTTCAGCTGAACTGTACAAAGATGACTTTGAGGTGTCATCTTTGTTGTCACTCAGGAAAGACCCTCAGTCTTGCAGAGATCAGTCCCAGCCCTCCAGGAGATCTAGAAGTAGAGCCACCAGTTTTGGTAGTGACGATGAGATCAGCGAGTGCCTCAGTGAGAAGAGCCTTTCCATTCATAGCAGTGTCCACTCTGAAAGGCTGTTAGAGCTCAAGTCCCCGACCGAGCTTATGAAAAGTAAGGAGCGCAGTGATGTGGAACACGAACCCGAAGTTGCTGAACCTCCTGCTTTGGCTTCGGTCTCTATTGCGGATGAGTTACTTGATTTCCACATTGGTGATAGGGTATTGATTGGCAATGTGCAGCCAGGAACTCTTCGATTCAAAGGGGAGACTAGTTTTGCAAAAGGATTTTGGGCTGGAGTAGAGTTGGATAAACCTGAAGGAAATAACAATGGGACATATGATGGCATTGTATATTTTGTGTGCAAAGAGAAGCATGGTATTTTTGCTCCTCCTCAAAAAATATCTCACATTCCAGAAAACTTCAATGACTATGTAGATGTAAATGAAGATGAAGACTCTTATTTAGATGAACAATATCAATATTATAATCAAGAGCAAAAGGATACAGAGGATCTGAAAGATAGAGAGAAAGATGCAATTGAATATTTTTATGAAAAATCTCTACCTACTACGCACAATATAGAAGCCTTGGTTGATAGAGATAGAAGCCTTAAAATAGAAACCGACAACATAAAGGACACTTCTGGGGTAATTGAAGCCCAAGTTCACCAGCAGTCTTCAGTAGATTCATTGATTTCTTCAAAGGAAGACAAAGACCTCCTTTCTGATGCCATAGAAAAGGTTTCCACTGCTGCAGAGGATGATACTTTAGATAACACCTTTTCTGAAGAATTGAAGAAGCAACAGCAGTTCACAGAAAAGGAAGAGAACCTATATTCCAAAGTTTCAGAAACACTTTCTACCCCACTTCTGGACCTTTTAACAAGAGAAAAAAAACAATTGGAAACCCAGCTGAGGTCATCACTAAATGAGGAGAACAAGTCAAAGCAACAACTAGAAGCAGTCAGCTCACTGACAGACAACTTGCTCCAGGTGTTTGTGAAGGACACAGTCAGTCAACTGCAGCAAATCAAGAAAGCTCGGAATGAGAAAATCCAGCTTAGCAACCAGGAGCTTCTCGATGATGACCAAAAGAAAGTACAGCCCCAAGATCTGTCCCCAAATCTTGAGGAACCGTCACCAGGCATTCCAAGTTGCTTCTTAAGGTCAGAATTAGAAGATGAAAAAGAAGAAATTTCCTCTCCAGATATGTGTCCCAGACCTGTAAGTATTTCATCTAGAGAAAGTATCAACCTACCTTTCCTGTGTAGTACATTTTAGTTCTGTGGCTCCTGAGAGGACTTTTTCCCCCTGTAGGTAAAGATCACTATGGTAGTTTGTAAAGGCCATGTGACCATTTTTCTGTCTGTAGTATAATTGTCCTCTATTATGTCATGAGTGGTCACTACAGGGTTGTCACAAGCACTGGCAGGTTTCTGAGAACCAAAACAGCCATTTAAACTGCTGAGTTAACAATCCCTGTATATTGTCCACAGATTAGATCCCCTTCCAGATTCACTGAAAATTTATTCCATGGAGCTTTGCAGGAGTTCTCAGGCAGTTCTTTTTTGCCTGTGAAATATTCGTTCACATATCTACTCAGTTGTGGTTGCCCTGCAGAGACTGCCAGTGTGATGCTGATTCTGGTAAAACTGAAATATGTCCACTGTGACATAAACTCAGACTGGTTTCAGTTCCCCATGGACAGTTGAGCAAAATGATTCTGAATACCTTGAGCCAGATTATCACCAAGGTGAGAAATTTCATAACCCATTTCCATATCCCAGAGACAGTCCTTTAGAAATAGAATAATGCTGATACCAAAAAAAGAAAAAAAAAAAAAGAAATTAATCAGTAAACATTTTCTAAAAATTCAGTTATAAGGCATATATAAGCATAATTGTGGAAACAGGAATTTCTTTTTTCTTAAATTGCTCATAATGTTCCCTTAAATTGCCCATTGTTTTTATTTTGCATACTTATGGAGAAATATTTCTTATAATTAATACATTTACTTCATCTTAAAACAAAAACAAAAACAAACTTGTTACGTGGTCTGAAGTCACTAAATGGTGCTCTGTTTGAATGGCCCCATTTCCGTAGGAGAGCCCAGTATTTGGTGCCAGTGGGCAGGAAGAGCTTGCTAAGAGACTCGCTGAACTGGAGATCAGCCGGGAGTTCCTGAGCGCATTAGGAGATGATCAAGACTGGTTTGACGAAGACTTTGGTTTAAGCTCTTCTCACAAGATCCAAAAAAATAAGGCAGAAGAAACTATTGTACCTCTAATGGCAGAACCTAAAAGAACACCCCAAAAGCCATGTGAAACATTGTTGGCAGTCCCACATACTATAGAAGAAGTAGAAATTCTCGTACATAATGCAGCAGAAGAACTTTGGAAATGGAAAGAACTAGGCCATGATCTTCACAGCATCAGTTTTCCAACAAAACTGCTGGGCAGTGCCAGTAAGGGTCTAGACCTAGAAAGTACTAGTAAAAGGGTCTACAAACAGGTATGTAACAGGAAAGGATCACTGTATATTTTAACTTACTCCCATTGTTTAAAATTTGTATTCTTAGCCATTGTGTATTGTTTCATTTCTTTCTATCAAGGCGGTTTTTGATTTAACAAAAGAGATTTTTGAGGAAATATTTGCTGAGGATCCTAATGTGAATCAACCTGTTTGGATGAAGCCATGTAGAATCAACTCTAGTTATTTTCGTCGAGTGAAAAATCCAAATAACCTTGATGAAATCAAGGTAAACTATAAGCATCTCCTTTTTTGATTTGTTACTTGTTACACAGACCTATAGATGTTGTTAAAGCAAGAACTCTTCTGTAAAATGACTTTCTGTTTGTTTTTGCTTTAGGGCACATGCACTTGTCAGAGGAAGAGAGACAGAGACAGTGAGAGGGAAAGTGGGAAATTCCCTCTGGGGAATGGCCACATCACAATCCCTTCTCTATTCTCCTCCTGGGATCTAGGGCACGCATGCACATGTGCCCAGCATGAATTTCAAGCTGCTGGATCTGGGACTCAAACCATGGTCGGCCATGTGGGAGTCCAGTGACGTAACCACTATGACAACTATTGATCCCCGTAATAATGACTTTTAACGCTTATTTCACACACACATAGATAGACATACACAATCTATAATAGTTTAGAAGAAATAGGGAAATACCCAGGTAGGTAAATTATTGTAACACAGAGTTATAAGTCAGGTTTGTAGAATTTAGATAGGTTGTGGAAGGACACATGAAAACAGAACACACGTATATACTTTCTCAACATGCCAGCCATAGACATAGCTATCACTTCTATCTATGATTTTGGAGGTTTCATAGTGGTAATGTGATTTTGAAGTACATAGGACACAATATGATAGGTAAAAGTGTTTATTTTGTTATCTAAGAAACCACTGAAAAGATTAAGCACTCAGAAGCTACAGGACTTCAGACTTTGAAGTCACATTGGTGCGAATCTGCCCTGCGTGTCCGCACACTTCTCCTTCACAAAGGAAGTGTTTCTCAAACTTGAATATGCATCGGAATAACGTGGGAAGTTCTCAGGTCTGGGCTAACACCCAGTGTTCTGCATTTCTACCAGATTCCCAAGTGGTCTGATGTGGCTGGTCCCAGGACCCCTCTGTGTAGGAATGCTTTACAGATCTGTTTTCCAAACTGATTTGATCCTAGAAAACCTTTAAAAATAATACATATTGACAGAAAATAAATATTTATAAGATGTAATGAATGCTTATATCAGGGGTCAGAAAACTATGACCCACAGGTCAAAGCCAGGCCACCATCTGTTTTCTTTTTTTTGAAGTTTTGTTTATTTTATTCATGGAAGACAGTGCATGCCCAGAGAGAGAGATCTGCACTTCTGGCAGGGTGCCATCACACTGCAGTCCCTTTTTCCCATCCCTTCACTAGTCAGGATCCTGGGCATGCACTCGAGCACCAACCAGAGAGCTGCACCCACAGTGGACCACGTGACTTCCAGCACAGCATTCAGCACCCTGCCACTTGCACCACCGAGCCTAAACCACAGCCACACCCATTGTTTACATGGTGTCTGTGGCTGCTTTCCTGCTACAGCAGTGGAGACCAACAGTTGCAACAAAGACGAAATGGCCCTCTAAGCTGAGCATGTTTACACTCTGACCCTTTGCAGAGTCAGTTTCCTAGCCCCAACTTAGATTAAAGCACGCAGCATTTTCAGAACACACTGTTGTTCGTACTCTTTTCCTTCCACCCTTCCACAGTTGGTTAAGTCCTTAAATGCGATTACATGTCTGTCCATGTAGGTGGAGAGCAGTGTAGATGGTGGGCACAGTGGCGGTTTGAGAATCTTCTCAGATGATTGATTCGTAGTTTCCTTTTCCCTATAAAGGACATTGTTTTTTAGGGGCCAGCAGGTGGCGTGGTAGTTAAAGCAGCTGGATTCCCACATGACCAACCAAGGCTCAAGTCCCAGACCTGGCAGCTTGCTCTCTTGCTTTCCCTCTCTCCCTCTCTTATCTGTCCCTCTCTGGTCAAAATTTAAAAGAATAAATAAAATGAATTGAAATAAAATAATTTTTAAAAAACATTTTTTTAACAACAAACATAAAATATAAGAAAACTAGTTCTTAATAACAAAGAACAAATAGGTTGAAATAAACAAGATACACACCAGTAATCATCAAACTGTGTGCATCAATAAAGAACACAGTAGAAGCTGCTCACTCATTTTAATGTTGAAAGCACATTGTGTAAGGCTGGCCGCATGGCCCAATGGTTAAGGGAGCTGGATTCCACACAGCCAGTCACAGTTCAGATACCAGCCCCGGCCGTTTAAGAAACCCATTGTGCACATGTGCACGCCCAGATCCCAACAGGATAGAAAAATGGAGGAAAAGGGATTGCAGCATGACCATTCCTCATGGGAGGGGTGCTCAAAAACTGTCAGTATCTCTCTTGGCCAGACACCCTCTAGCAAAAAGAAATAGCATTTTAGTTTTCTTTTATAAGGGTGGTAGTTCAGATATTGTTAATTAAATTATCATACTTCTTGTATTAAAGTGTCAGTATTTTTAAATTTAATATATTTGAATCTCGGTGCTTTGAAATAAACTGCCCCATGCAAAGCCTGTACTTTTCTCACATGGTATTTCTCTGGGATTTTTTTATGTTCAGAGATTGACTTTGTTTTCTTTAGTAGTTTTGCCAGCTCAAAGTTAACTAATAGTGGTTCTTGGGTAAAGGGAATTCTAAAGTGATTTTTCTTTGCAGATTCATCAGTGGGTTTATTTTTATGTATGATCTTTTATTATAAATATGTGTTCTTAAGATGAATCTGTTTAGTGCATTGTAAACACATAAATCTCAGTAACTTTGTGTTTCTTTCATTCCTCTTCATAGAACTTCATAGCAACTGAAGTACTCAAGTTGTTCAGTCTTAAAAAGGAGCCAAACCACAAAACAGATTGGCAGAAAATGATGAAATTTGGAAGAAAGAAAAGAGACCGAGTAGATCATATCCTGGTCAGTGTATATAACTAAATTTTTTTTTTCATGGTAAAGACTGCTTTATTGATGGCAGTTAGTACAAGTCAATAAATATTGATCCCCAGAGAAGAGCTCAGTTATTTATCGTATTACTGGTCCATAGAGAGCGGAATGAAATTTAACGAAAGGACGGCTGGGCTGACCAGAGTCAATCCTGCTTTTTGGGAAATGAAGCCATAGCCGGCTGGTAAATGCCATGTGCTGTCCCACCGACTCTAAGAACCATGGCGACTCTACACGGGAGGGCATCGGCTACTCCACCCTTAGGATGCACAGGAATTCCATGACCCTCCTGAAACAGCTTTCGTTTCTCTGGATCTCTGTTTTCAAAATGTCTGCGTGAAGCAGTGCTTATGATCCTCTGGGTAATCTGACGAAGAGAGTCAGCAAATTCCGCAGCATCTTGTCTCAGCTTCTGCCCACCAACTGCAACCATAACTAAATTGTTTTAATTTTGATCATACCTGCTAAAATCAGAATGAAGTTAGATGGAAAGAGGGAAGTTGACATCTATGGTATTAACATCTTAAAGCCTCCTTTTGCTGCATTTCTACCTCGCTGTTTTGGAAATTGTACTTAGTACGTGTATGTTTAACTTAATAGTATTTCGTGGAAAACTTGAGAAATAAAATCCTGAGTGGAAGCAAAGTTTAAGGTAGTGAATTAAAAAAAGACTAGTGGGGGCCAGCAGGTGGCATGGTGGTTAAGGCACTGGACTCCCACATGGCTGACCACAGTTCAAGTCCTGGACGTGGTAGCTTGCTTTCTCACTTTCTCTCTTTCTCTCTGTCTCTATCTGGCAAGCCTGTGTGCCCTCTAGCAGATTAATAATAATAAATAAAATGAATAATTCTTAAAAATAAGAGAGAGAGAGTATGGACACTGGGGCCAGACTGAGTTCAAATCTCTATTTTGAACTCATGTGTTATATAATTTTAGACAAGTTTATCTTTTTTGCCTCATAATAATAGTACTCACCTGATTAAATTATTAAAAGGGTTGTGTGAGACAAGTAGGATTTATTTGGTTTTGTAACACGAGAGGTCATCAGGAAGTTCATGGAGAATGCATGTTGTGAGAAATCATGCATGGATTTCAAAATTTTTGTGCACCAAAGTAAACTCATAGTTTTATTCCATTTTTCTGTGAGCTTTTGAAGTCCCCTCTTATTTTTCTAACATTAAAAATGTGTTTATCCAAAAAAAAAAAAAAAGGAGGGCCAGCTGGCCAAGTACGTGATTCGAGTCCTGGACCTGGCAGCTTGAGAAACATGCCAGGTGCATGTGTGTGTGCCTGTGTGCCCAAAATCCCAAGAAGAGAATGGAGGAGAAGGGATTTGGCATGGCCATCCTCCCTGGGGGTGCTTTCTCACTTTCCTTCTGTCTTTCCATCTAGCACACATGCCCTATAGCAAATTTTTAAAAAGAAAAAGATTGTCTTTTTCTTTGCCTGAAAAAAGAATCTCAAGTAGTAGCAAACCTTAGGAGACTCACATGTTACTTGATTCAGGTTTACCTTTAAACACAGTTCTAGACTTTCTGTCTATATCACCATCCATAGAATGGGAAAAAGTAGTTTTTCCCATGTGTGTGTGCATTTCCAGTGCTTCATTTACTCAGTAACAACTCACGAGGTCACGTTTGTTTAGCGTTTCACAGTTTCTTCTCTCTCATGCCTTATTTGGTCCTCACGGTAATTACATTAGATGGGAAGGAATGGGGAGCTGTTGGGTAAGCATAAACCAGAGGAAGCTGATCTAGTTGAGGATGGCAAGGGCAGGCCTCCGTGAGGAAGTGACATTTAAGCTCAGATCATAAAGGCAAAGCGCCGTTAGCCGAGCTGTAGGATGGAAGGAAAAAACAACTTGAGTGTCAGTGTGGCTGGAAAGTGAGGGGCGAGGTGGTGTAAGAGAGAGCTGGGGAAGCAGAAGGAGTCTGTTGTGAAGTGCTTCTCTCTCTCTCTCTCTCTCTCTGTTTCTCTCTCTCATTAAAAAAATAAAAATAAAAAAAGACCAGAAATTTAAGTAACCGAAATTATAAGATCACATGTACTGTTTTAAAAACTCATGGAGAAGGTCCAGCCTCTGGGTGGGGAGCTGGACGGATACTGAACTGCAGTGCGAGAAGCCCTGGGGCCGACAGGGTTCAGACCCAGAGTCACCTGAACCAGGCCGAGCACGTGTATGCTCAAGATCCTGACCAGCTGGAGGGCCGGGTAAGAGGACTAGGACGCAGGAAGATCGCTCGGGCACCTGCCTGTTTCCCTCCTTACCTCTTTACCTTTCTCTCTCTCATTTTCTGTCATGAAGGAAAATTAACTTTAAAAAAATAATAAAAGAATGTTTCAAAAGGAACAGCAGTACGGAGGAAGAAAGACCAGCTAGTAGGGTATTAGGGTGAAAGATGGCTGCTTAGGCCTATTAAAGCAAAACGTCTGAGAGATGTATCTTGAGCATATGTCAGAGTAAATGAGGGCATTCGCAGAGGGAGTATATCAAACGGCAAGGAGAACAGAGGTTCAATGCCTGAGGCTTCTAGCTAGTTACAGACTTTTACTTCACATGGTTATAAAAATAACAGCTTCATGGTGGAAAGATGAAATATATTGGAAGGGGAGGGCAGCAATTTGGAGCCATTTTTAGACCTAAACTATTAAACAGAAGTAACAAGTAATATATCTAAAAAGTGAACAATTAGCAAATTGATCTGTAGTTCTTTGTTAAATGTGTCAGAAAATAAGGTATTATACCCTGGCAGAAGAGGCTTCCCCCAAGTGCCAAATAGGGTCAGTTAAGCAGAGACATCTCTCCAGCAGTTGTTAAAATTTTCAAATATTAAAATATATAAATGTTTCTTTTACAAGTATATAGTTTGGGAGAGGGTCATGTCTGTGCATAAGAATTAAAGAGATTTACCAATTTGTGAAGAGTCCTAGGCTGGAGATAGGAATTTGAGAGTGGTGGACTTACAGATGGTCGTCAAAACCATGAGACCAAGGAAGAGCAGACGGATAGAGAAGACTGATTCTCGGAGCACTCCACTGTTTTTAAGGGTTAAGAAGAGGTAAAGAGGGGGGCCAGCAGAGGGCATGGTGGCTCAGATGTCTTGATCCCCTGTTGCTGACCATAGTTCAAGTCCCAGACTTGGTGTCTTAAAAGCCATACCACACATTTTGGGTATGTGTACCCAAAATCCCAAGGAGAGAACTGCAGAGAAGGGATTGCAGCATGGCCACCCCCCCCCCCCCCCGCCTCAGTTTCTCCCTCTCTCTCTCTCTCGGTGAGCACACGTGCCCTATGGCAAAAATCTCTCTAAAAAAATAATAATTAAAATATTACAGACAGAGGAGCAGCCAGTGAGGCAGAAGGAAGCCAGCATCAGATGTTTCCAGGAAGGGAGGGATCAACTGTCAAATACTGCTGACGGGTGAAATAAGATGGGAACTGAGAGTTTAGTGTTGGGGTTACCAGCGTATTGGTCATTGTTGTGCTTAATACAAGTAGTTTTGGTAGTCGGATGAGGTAAAAGCTTGAACGGAGTGAGTTTCCATGAGAGCATGAGAGCAAAAATGAGCATTTCAAAGGAATTATGTTAAAAAGAGAAAAATGGGGCTTTGGCAATGAAAACATCATGTTACTTCTCACTGATGGAGACAGAAATAGTTCCTGTTCTTGAGCACAAAGCTGAAAGAATAAAGTCTTTCATTTCTATGGGGGCTGCTTTGGGGATATATTGAGAGGTAATGAATAATGTCATGAGCATGTATTTCTCCTGCAAATGTGAACAGTTTTCCTTAGAAGAGAGTTTCTTAATTTCATCATTGGGGAGGAAGTTGATCAAAGAACAGATTTAACATTAAAGGCTAAGCAAACTTTTCTAGAAGAAGAAAAACTGCAACTGTGGATAAACAGACTGGGGGTGTGAACTCTGTGTGGTGTACCTGTTAGTCATCCAGAACATTCTTGGTAGGTGAGTATTTCTTATACACTGCACGATGCGATCTGTAGCCAGTAAATATAGGAAACCGAGTTGAACTAGTTTTTTTATGGACAATCTCCTCTCTAATAGGCTAATATTCGTTGAAAATCCCCCTGAGGGAGGGGGATTTAGATTTAAGCTCTAGAACTTACTTGGCCATAGAACTGTTTTTGGTCCCCTGGAACATAAAGTAGGGAACGCAGGAATGGATGTTTAGAGATTCATCAAATAGTCTTCCTCAGTGAGGGGAGATATGGCAGCACTTTGTCATATGCTTGTGAACCCCAGCCCAGGGTCTGTGTGGACAGTGCTTTCCCCCCCACCTCTCTCAGACCTCAGGATGATATGGTCTCTCTCCCAGGAGTCTTCTCATTTCCTTCTAACAGGAACAGCAATACAAGTTCCCTCCTATTTCCTCTACTTTCTTGAGATGACACTGTGATCAGAACAAGCTAGGGGCATGGTGTCATTGGCATTTTGGCCAAGTTAAACTTCTGGTCGATGGAGGCCCGTCACTGAGGTGGTCGCTGTCTTCTTTCTCTGCCTGGCCGCCATCTTACTCTTAGTGCTGGTATGTCTAACAAGTTTGACATGATTCTTTGATGAAATGGTAGTTTTTAAAGTGTGTTATAAGCAAACAATAAGTCTGGTGTAGTTTTTTTCTAATTCGGTTAGTTTTCACTTACCTAAGAATCTCAGATTCCTAAAATGCTGGCCAGCTGGTGACATGGTGGTTAAGGCGGCTGGATCCCATATGCCCAGCTGCGCAGTTCCAACCACGGGAATACTAAGAAAGGAAATGTGATTGGCTTTCCAGCTTCCGTGCACTGGAGCTCTCCTAACCCTGTCGTCTTCTGCATTGTAGGTCCAGGAGCTCCACGAGGAGGAGGCACAGTGGGTGAACTACGATGAGGATGAGCTGTGTGTGAAGATGCAGCTGGCCGATGGGATCTTTGAGACCTTGATCAAAGATACTATTGATGTTCTGAATCAGATCAGTGAGAAACAGGGGAGAATACTACTTGTGTGACACCTTGCAAATAAATCGAACACTGAGTGCTAATGTGAGTCCTGGGCCTTTCTGCCTCCTGATATACACCCCATTGCCATCCTAGCAAGAGTACTTCGGACCCTGTGCCTGTTCTTAAAGACTGCTGGTATGGAGCTCTGGGACAGTGCGGTGTATCTGGTATTACAGCTTTTGCCTTTAGAGACTGTCCCTGGATTCAGTGGTCATTGTCGGTGGGCAGGGTTGCACTCCTCATGTTGAGACATAGTATAATCCTACAGCTCTTGTCAGCATCCCTACCAGGTCTCAGATGAGGGCTGGACACACCAGACTTACCTCTGAGCTTAGACCAGCTTCACTTCCTTGAGTCCGAAGTCAGACAAGAGAGGTATGTAGATAGTGCATCATATTTTTGAAATGTAATCCTGGTCTATACCATAAGTGGATGTTATAGTCTCCAAACAGTATTAAACCCTTAGCCACTTTTAAAATAGGCAAGTTTAATAATGTCCGCCTACTTCACATTCGAGAGTTTATTTCATTTCTTTTTGAAGACAATTTTCTTCCATTATTGCAGCTGAGCAGCACCAAGTGGACTGTCCAGTGTAACAGAAAATAACAGCAGCCTTGCTTTTCAAGCCCCATCTGAGAATTCGAACCCTTTGTGTGACGGGGCATGGAAACAGAGAAGGGCCCCCAGTGAAGAGTGGGCTCGAAGGACTGACACGGGGCTGGCTCTTCTACCCCTGTCTGCCCCTGCACTTTCTTACTCGTTCTGAACCTCTCCTAGCTGCTCCCAGAATCACAGATACTCAGGACCATCTCAGGCATCCAGGCATGGCAAAGTGGAAATAATTCATTTTGGCCTTCAAACCTTCAACTCCCATCTCTCCCCAAGAAGTCAGAGACGCTGTTACTTGAATGATTTAGGAAATGAGTGTGTGCACCAAAGACAAAAAGATATTGTCTGTTGTTTGTGTGCTTGTTTTGCGCTGTGGAACATTTTTTTAATTTATTTTAAGATAAATTATTAAGTTGAAAATGTGTGTCCCTATTCAGAAGTGAAAGATTCTTGTAATAGTTAACCTCCGTCTTGAAGCTTCTATGGTTCACGGTCTTTGCACAGGAAACCTGCGGTTTTAACAAACCCATACACACATCGAAGAAGTCAGTTCAATTCAGTGAAACGAAGATGAGCTTTTTCGAGATCAAAACAGGAATGAAAGAAAATGATTGAAAGACACTGTAAAATTTCACTCTGCCTCTCTCGCAGCATTGCTTCTCACAACTATTACCTGCATCTGAAAACAATCTATAGACTCCAGCTGCTACCCGAGAGCATACGCGATGCTCTCCTGGGACCTCGAGACCCTGCCTTCTTGACTGGTTTCTCTTAATCAGTCCTATCCCTCTTCAAGTAATCTAGAAGAATGTGGATATCTTAGGCGTGAATGTAAATGCCTTAATATTGAAGGTCCTGATTAGAAGCATGATACAAGACATCCACTGGATTCATATTTACAAATATCCTGGAATGTTACAGCTTCAAAATATGTTAGAAAAACCCCAAAGATGGTGTAATCTCTAAGTGTGCACATTCATTCATTTCTGCATCTTTCCTCCAAACTTGCCTTTGCGTCTTAAATGTCTTCACTATGCACACTTCCATTCCTCTCTGGTTTCATCTTGTCATTGTAAGAAACTTACAGAAATAATCATTGGAATATTTGCATTTTGCACAATGACTGGTATGATAGCTCTTGACAAATGAGGAAAGCACTGAACTGTTCTGATTGGGTCTCGGGAACTGCTCGGATTGACGTAGTGCCAGCGTTTCTTTTCGACTTGTGGTGTTGAGCTGTAGTCTTGTAGCCATATGAGCAAGTTGACTAAGAGAAGCAAAGGTTTCTTGGGGTTATTAACCAGTAGTGTGGACATGATATTTCCATGTGGCCAAGGAAAAGCAAACACTTTTCTTTTTGGTTTGTGTTATCTGGAAGACAGACTACACCTTGTCTACATCCTTTGGCTGTTTGTAGGATCACATTGTCCTTATGATACTGAAACTTTACAGCTGCTGTACATTTTTTATAATTGAATATCAGATTATTATAATAGGATTATAGGTTGTTTTTCTACATCTTCATGATTTGGACCTAGAGTCGATTTTTAATAAGAAAGTTTATCCTTACTCTTTTTGACATTATGATTCCAGAAAGGGATTCTGGACTTGGAGTTCCCTGGGAAGAAATGCTGCCAAGAAAGTGGCAGGAGCTGTCCTATCTTGAGAATTCTGGGTTTCAGATGAGAGGCAGAAATGGATCAGTCTTTTTCTTTGCTAGAAATGGTTATCCATAGTTTGGTAGCAAAAAAATAAAAATAAAAAAAAATAAGACAAAGGAAATCTATAGTTAGCAGATTTCTTATTATTTTGACTAGTTGGGTCTAATTGAAATGGGTTTCTTGTTAGAATTAGGAATGATAAATATGGATACCCAGCCACTTGTTCCATATTGGGATCTTTTTAATCAAGCTCTGCCTCTTAACCAAGAACCTAAATATTCCCTCTTTCTAATCTCTGTTCCTTCTCCCCACGCCCCCATCCTCTTTCACTCTTTCTTTATAATTCCTCTAAAAAAGATCTTTGCATCAGCAGTAATACCTTTTAGAATAGCACTATCAGAATTTAGTAGTAAACCAACACATAGGCTTCAGATTTACTTCTGAGTCCAAAACAATTTGTGCTATCCAGGGTAATTAACTCTGGGTTAAATAAGTACAGGGTATAGATTCCCTCTTCAGGTCTAAACAGGAATTTTTACTCTAGGGAAAAGTGGGAAGAGCTCAAAAGTAGTTAAATAAGGAAGGTAATTTGTTTTTCTTTTATCTGAAAGAAAAGACAATTCCTTCTGTGACTACAGGTCTCTGAGAAATTATCTTTCAAAAGAGATTTCATTGCTCATAAGAGTGTTGTGGCCTATTGATAAAAACAATTTTGTTCACTTTCTTGTCTTGAAAAAAAGTGGCCTTAGCTTTTTGCAATACTTGAATAAAGTGTGTACTTGCAAAAGAATTTCTGTAGCACAGCATTAGAGACTCATAACTTTTCTGCAAGAAATTCAAACTTACATCTTCCTTTTACTACCTTAAGAATACTAGTGAATAACACATTAATTCAAAGAGCAAATGATAGAAACTACAATGATGTTTAATGCAAATTGTAGGAATTTACATGTTTACAAATCATCTTAAACTGGTTGTGCAGCAATTCAATAAAATATCTTTGTATTATAAAAAAAATGTGAAGAGAAAATTGTAAACTGATGTAAAGGAGGTACTGTCATTTTAATTAACCTATGTTCAATAGCTTTTCCTTCTGGACTTTGCAAAGCCTTCTCGGTAAACACATTGCAAAGCGTTCTCTGGGAGGTTTAGCCTCCTGTGTGTACTGTACTGTGCAGACATGAAAAAATAAACCCGTTTACTGTGTATGTGTAAATAGCCTGGCCAGCAGGCTGCTTTCAGCCAATAGTCACATCCAGTGCAACTTTGCACAGAAGACTTAAGGGTGTGGTTTGTAAGTATGACCTGTAAAATAACTGGGATGATTTCCCATGTATACCTGTGTATATAGATTTGTTAACTGAAATGTACTTTAAGAAAAGATAAGATCTGTAAATAAACTGATTTATAAATTAATTTCATGTCAAGTTCTTATTTTTCCCCACTTGCCAAGTTTAGAAAAAGAGTCTCTGTAAAACGTACTTTATTTCTTGGGCCAGCTGGTGGTGTGGTGTTTAAGGTGGCTGGAGCCCACATGGCTGAGTATGTGGGTTTGAGTCTTGGGCCTGGTGGCTTGAAAAACACACCAGGCGTGGTGTGTGCATGCCCAAATTCCCTAGAGGAGAAATGGAGAAAGATTGTAGCATGGCCATTCCCCCGAAGAGTGATTTTTCAATTTCTGTCTCTACCACGAGTACACATAGCCTCTGGCAGATTTTTTTAAAATTCTGGTTTCTTACACACTGGCAGGGCATTTATGCTTCCCCATACACAGGTGAGGTGTGTGAGCGCTGTTAGCCCCACACGGAAGTGCCACCATCACAGACATCTGAGCAGCCTGGGCTGGGCAGGTTCAGGGCACATTCCTTCAACAGATCATCATGGAACACTAGCTTTGTGTTCTGAGCTGTGGAGTTCTGGGGAGGTAGCAAAGAAGACAGAAATGGTCCTGGTCACAGGAACTCAACACCTAATGAAAGAGAGTCACCCAAAAATAATTTGGAAAAAAAAAGGCATGAACAATTGTAACCACTGTTGGAAAGGAAGCACTGGTCTTCAAAAAGCAGAAAATACATATTAAAAACTATGCATGGGGTTCAAATTTTTTTGCACTAAAACTCATACCAACTTGTTACAACACATCTGAACATGATCTAGTATGAGGCACTAAGGAGGATTAGACATCAGTTTCAAAAGAACCCTTACCACAGCAATGTGAACTTTGCTAAAATTGAAGAAAGAGCAAACATCATGAAATTTATGGTGAAGCTTAGGTGGAAGAATGGTGAAATCACTGATGCTTTACAGAAAGTTGATGGGGACAATGTGGCAAAGAAAACAACAGTTTATAAATGGCTAACTCGTGTTTAGAAGGGACAGCATGTTGAAGATGATGCCCATAGTGGCATCAGAATGTGAGGAAAAAAGTCTGGTTTCTGTCCTAACTGAAGAGGAGCAATCAACAGCAGAAACAATAGACAGTTGCCATAGACCTCTCAGTTGGTTCAGCTTATATAACTTGGACCAAAAAGTTAAAGGTGAGCAAACTTTAATTTTGGGTGTCAAAACTGTTGCACCAGTTCAGCTGTAGAAAGAGCAGCTTTAAATAAGTGAGATCAAGACCCTGAAGCATTTCTTCAAAGAATTGGAACAGCCGATGACTCATGGCTTCACCAGTACAATCCTGAAGACCAAGCACAGTCCAAACAAGGGTGGTCCTATAAGAGCAAAGGTTATAGCAGGGACCAGCAGGTGATGTGGTTAAGGCACTGGACAC